GGAGGCAGGCAGGACACAGAGTGATGTGATTATATCACTCTGTCATCTCTCAGGAAAAAGGAGAGAGAGAGAGAGAGAGCAAACACAACTCTTTGCCTGGATCTTCATTAGCCGTAGGTTCTGATATCTCGTGTCATTTAGTACATGGGCTAACCGATAGTAGGATGCCAGAGGACACTACATGGTGATTTCGTGGGGAAGGGAATATAACAACTTACATGTTATTTTATTGCCTACCCATAACTCTACCTTGTTTTATAGGATTGAAAAAATACCAAATATATAAAAATAAACTAGCACAAACTAATACATTAATAATGACTAGAGTGGAGCTAAATTTGGAATCTCCATCCTGTGGGAAATTAAGAAATTTCAACGTTGTTTTGTCCCATATCAGGATGAGATGTCAACATTTTTGCAGAATGGACATTTCAATTCAGAAATAGCAAAACAAAATATTTAAACTTTCACAAAATCAAAATGTTTCATTTCAGTTTATTGAACTCAGCCGAAAGACTTTGGGTCAGCTCAATAATAAACCACATATGCTAACAGTGGCACACAGCCTCATACAAGCTATAGTTTGAGAGCCTAATGCACCCATATTTTACCTAATGTGCCAGGTTATGTGGCTGAACATCACCCATGATGCACCTATAGTCATGGCATTCTGATGATGCCCCGCACAGCTCAGTAGGAACGAAATCTGAATTATATTACTGGACAGGTAGACTTTTATGGAGCCCTGCTCACACGAGAAGAGGAGGGGCTGAACCACAACTCCTACAGGCAATACACACATTGGGAAATTCAGTTTAATATTTTATTATCCAGATTGGAAAAAAAATAAAAAGTTTCCAGCAAAACCAAAATTTTCCCAACTCTTTTTGTGTTGTTGTTGTTTTTGAAACTACATCTTCTGTTGGGAAAATCATTCAGCTGGAAACTTCCTGACCAACTCTGATAACCACATAGCAACCAGCCTTGCCCCTCAGCTCAAACCTCAAAGAGATGTACTTTACAGCATGTTTAGGGGGCCAGCGAAACTGGTTTCTAGCAAACGAACAGTGGAGGAGCATTCACAGAAAACACTCTGCCAGACTTTTAAATCAAAGGACCTACATCTTGGGCATCTTTTCTGATCACAGCTATGACAGTACTATGTGGGGAGAGAAGGTATCACAGGTAGTCCAGTCCCAAACCACGCAGGTGTCTGTAGCTTTAAACTCCACTCAGGAATCAACAGCAGCTAGGGAGCATCATTGCCATGTATGCTCAACACGAAACTGCTTTGCAGTGAGAGCCCAGATTGTGCACTAGGTTTCACGGTTCATAGGCAACAGAATGAAGCACCGTGAAGAGTACAGTAGTCTGTTGCTGCATTAGCTCCCCATGCGAAGTGTGTAAGGTGGGTTAGAAATACTTATAATGAAGTCATTAATTCTGCAGATAGGGAAACTAAGTCACAGAGAGGTGAAGTGATTTGTCCATGTCCATATGAGTGTCAGTGTCAGAACTGAGACAGATACCGTAAGTAGATTCTGTACCACATGCATCACTGTGCCATGCTCTAACACCTAATAAATGTCTTAGTCTTTAAAGTGACATGGGATTCCTTGTTGTTTTTGCTGAAACAGAGAGGTAACACGGCTACCTCTCTGAAACCTGTACTATCTGCATCCCCAGTCCCAATTCTGTGCTTGATTGATCAGACAGTGCCTCTCAGACATCACAGACACAAAACCCTTACAAATCCTGTACCAATCTGACAGGATTCCCCCCACAACCTTCAAACAGGAGTCATGGAGATTGCTCTTTGGCATAGGTTTGTGGCAGGTTCCGCATGGCATGAAACTTGTGATTGAGACATGCCCTGAACCCCACGAGGGGGGACCCAAACAGGAACAAACTGTTCCGCATGGCATGAAACTTGTGATTGAGGCATGCCCTGAACCCCAAGAGGGGTGACCCAAACAGGAACAAACCAACTAAACTACTACTGACTCTAAAGCTACCTGTTTACAGATAGACGAATTATAAGTCATTAGGGGAATGCTTGCTGAAGATAGAAAACAGACCTGCTGCTCCAACAACTGTCACTGTCAGTAAGAAGAAACTAAGGAGACGCTGGGTTGATGCCATGAAGGCATGACTCCAGGGGGTGCCTGGACCAACCCAATGTTAGGCCATTCCAGAACCCACTCCACCTCCCTACTTCGGGCAGGGGGAAAACATTAGAGGAAAAACCTCCTGACAATTGTGCACACGGCAGGCACACGCACTTATGTGGAATCGACACGGACACATACTTAGAAGAGAACTGATCTGTGCTAGCAGGCAATGTAATATGTTAGACCAAAACATATCACAAATACATCACACGTGTGCACACCGACACACACGCACACATATATTAAGGAGGATTGGAATTTAAATTCTCTCATTTGTTATAAACCCGAAAGGATGAAATAAAGCCACAGGATGAATAAGGCTTTTGGAAACCTGTTTGCTGTTGCTACTAATATAGAGAGAGTTCTGTCTCTTTTCTCCTACTGCCCCCTACCTAGGGCCCTGTCACACTGAAGAGCTCGTTCTCCTTTTGCTCAGCATGTCCTGCGGCAAAGCCTTTTTTGCTCCTGCAATCTGCATATTGCCCTGACTTCCAAGCAAGCCCCACTTCCTCTCTGATCCCCTTTTCTGCCTCTCTGATGAACAAAAGGCTTAGTCTCAACTGCATTAGACTGAGCTCTACAACTCAGATGAATAAGGGCATTTTGGTGCCCTAACTGCCAGGTCAGCGGGTGGAGAGAGGGATTTGAAGCTGCCTGGAGATGGGCTGATGACAGGGTGAAAGAAATCCTCACTTACTCCTTTTTCCCATCTGTTACATGTTAACAGGCAATCAATTAGGGAGCAGCCAGCAAGGCTGCTACACTCAGGGGGTCTCTCTCTGCTGTAGGATGAAATAAGCTGACAACTTATACAGGCTGGTGAAGTCTCCGATTACTCTGTCTCTTCCCCCTTCATGTTCTCTCTCTGATTTCTGAACTCTCCATGGATGCTAGTCTTTCCCATCTCTCCTGATCTATTCTTGCTGTTAGTTTACTAGAGTAAATTGGGAGGGATTTAAGAGTTTTCTCCTATGGTACAAAGATTCCCCAAGTTGATCCCCTGGACGCTTAACCTTATACTCTATTTCCATACAAAGATCCCCTGCTGTGCCCCCCCCTAGAGTCCCACCATTAGCATTAAGTTGCCCAAATGATCAGACCTGTAGTATCAAGAATGGAGCAAGAGAAGGCAAATGTTCAGTGCAGCTAGACAAGAGTGGCTGTAAAAGTTGACATTCAGTCCATGAAAACTGCAATGACAAGCCACAGAAACATTGCATATGAATAGCTGGGCATTCTTTAGTGCTACATGTTTTCTATCTGGTGTAATGAGAGAGGCTGAACCAGACAGAGGGAGAAGGAGGGAGGATGTCTGAGAAAGCAGCCATTCTTCTACAAAGGAATTTCATCCAATTAGAGAGAGAGACTGCTGAACTGGAGTTCATTCACAAAATTTGAGAGTGACAAAGATATTAACTGGTTAACGCACTACAAGCCCAGGGTGACAGAGATATTAACTGGTTAACACACTACAAAGCCAATTTCCCCTGCCTTTGACATTCACATTTTCACATCAAAAGCTATGAATGGAACATATCCAGCCCACTTAATTAGTTTCATTCACACGGGTCCTACAATTGACAGGTAACTGCTTTTGCTCTGTGTGTGTGTAATTAATTTAGAGTCAAGTGTGGTTTTGGCATAAATTGAAAAAAATTTCCATTACTAGATGAATGATGTTGACCATCTTTTCTACTGGAGAGAGGGGAGGATGTATATGCACCATATCTATGCATGGGAGCTTACACTAGTGCATGTGTATGAAGGGACATGCATCTATCTGTGTGTATGGCAGCCTGCCTGTAAGTGAGTTAGTGAGTGTGTGTATCTGTCTATATTTTCATAGTATACCAATGTACATGTATATACATGCACTTTTGCTGGTATACATCACTGGTGCTGTCAGTATGTACAGTTCCTCTATGTACCTTTGTGGGGCGGGCGAGAACGTAATAGGTGTACATGTAAGTATACATGCAGGTATCTCTGGCTACGTGTTTGTGTCTGTGTGCATCCATGCACATATTGGAGGACTGGGGGGCATACTTTGCTATTTATGCTTAAATTTTCAAAACTATTTAAGGAATTTGCAGCTCTGAGACTAAACAGAAATTGAGTATCCAGCCCTATTAAGGCACCTAAAAAAGTCTCTGTCTAAATCTTTAGGACCACATGCTGTGCTGCTGAGAAGGGAAGGGCACCAGTGTATCTCCGTATCTGTGTGCTCTGTATAGCATCTCCACGAGGTCTGCAATGCTCCTGAACTTCTGGATGCAAACTAGGATTGACAGGCTTGCGTGAAAACCTCTTTTCCCAGAGCACTGTCTTTTCCCCCGCAAGGTGCACAACATTATAATAAGGCCCTAACCCTTTCCTGATGTCCTTGGCAGGAAGAGTTTCTGCTCTCCAGATGAACCAGTGTCAGACAAATACCCTCCCGGAGTAAAACCTAACCCCCTGACAGCTCCACTCCTGGAGTTACTCAGGGATGTGCAAGGGGTGCTGCCTCTTCACTGCAAAACTGGAGACCTCCCTGGAACGACATTTCCTACAGCAATGTTTTGAAAACAGCTTTGCCACATGTCACGCTGCTGCCGCCAGAAGAGAACCTTTCAAAATGTACAAGGGCTTTGGTTCACATCCAAGGTGGGGTGGGGGAGGGGCAGAGGAGGCTTGGCAGAGCTGTGCTGGGGAGCAGAGGATGGATGATGAGTATTTTTATTGTTTTTCCTTCTCTCTTCAAAAGTGCCGTAGGAGTCTCTGTAATCACAGGAACCCCGCCCCCGCCCTGGAGTGAATGTTTGTGCTCCCTCTCCCACCACACTGTACCTTGAATTGTTCTTTTGAAGAAGGCTTTGCATGCCTCGCAGGAAGCCACGCCATAGTGGTAGCCAGATGCAATGTCCCCGCACACCAGGCAGAGCCTCTTGGGGATGGCATTGAGCATGTACTCGCATTTGGTGGGCGAGTCCTCCATGATAGCGCTGGCACAGTCGTCGTAGCGTTTACGGCAGGACCCACCCCCAATCCCTGAGCCATTGAACATGGGCGGTGAGTCCAGGCCGTTAGGGTGGCCACCTATGGAGATGCCGTAGCCACCACTAGCATCAGAGGAGCCGCTGGGACTGTGATGGCTGATGGCATCAATGCCGGAGGATGGGCTGGACGGCTCAGTCTTGATGAAGGACCCGCAACTAGAGGTGAGGTGCCGCTCCTCCGTGGACATTCTGCCAAGCAGCCTGTAGGAAGAGAGCACAGAAGCCATCAGACAGTGTAGTCACCACAAAGTCCATCCCACTCCCACATTTGGTCCAGTTCAACTCAATCTCTTTGACTTCCTAAAGGGCATCAGTCCAATTTGTTACGTGCTGCCTCCCTACTATTCTCTGATCCGAGTAATGACCCATAGTATTTTTTGCAGGCCACGTTTTCAGATAGTCCCAAATGTCAATGAACTAGCTGTTGAAGCGACTATGTTGTTATCGGTGCCAACTAGTCATACTCTAGCCAGGGAAGGATTCATTAGCATGGAGGACAGATGAAGATCACAAACTGAGCAAGTCTGTAGTGGAGTCAGACAAAGTGTGGGTCCCTCAATCTGGGATTCCCAGCCACTGCTCTAGGCAAACAGATTTATTAGCAGATTCCATATTAGGCCTGAGAGGACTCCTTCAGTCTGTAAGTTCCCTTGCAATAAAGTGAGTTATTGTGCCCACTTTTCTCTCACACACCTTTTTCTTTTTTCCCTTAAATACCTAGGATTCCTCTCTAGAAAAGTGGCTTCAGAAGCTAACAGGCAACAGTTTGTAAAAGCCTCTTTCAATGTCCTCATCTATCCTAGTGTAATGGCAGGGACTTTTTTTCCCTGAAAGAAAGTTGCACATGCATTTCCATACAAGATGAGGTTAATGCTCCTTCTAGTCTAGGGTTTTATCTGTTACAGAGGCCAACAGCAGTGGTATCAAAGGAGAGAGTGAGAAACCCAGAAGTAAGTATTGCTAGACTCATTTGTCCCGTGGCAAGTTTGTCCCAAACGGTCATCAATTAGGGATTGCCTTATTCCCTGATACAGACAGGTATATGTTCCTTCCCAAGTGGTGAGGGTTTTTTAGAAACCAACCAACCACCCTCATCTATAGTAACTGAATATTTCCATTATCCATATATGTGTATGATATTTTTTTGAATACTACTAAACTGTTGGCACCAATTATGTCTTGTGGCAGTGAGTTCCACAGGTTATATGAGTACTTTGTGGAAAAAATATTTCCTTTTATCACTATTAAATTTGCTGACTTTCAATTTCATGGAAAGCTCTTTTATTCTTGTGGTATGGGAGGAAGAAGTGTGTCCAATCTACCTTCTCTATGTCATTCATTACTTGCTGAACATTTTTCACGTTTCCACTAAGTCATTTCCTATCTTTTTAAATCTTTCTTGATACAGAGGTCTTTACAGGCCTTTCACTGGTCTCATCGGACATCTCTGAACCTCTTCCATTTCGGCTGTATCTGTTTTTAAAGAGTGTTGACCAGAACTGAATTCAGTGGTCCAGATCCTCACTGATGTAACTCAGCGTAATTACATTGAAATCTATTCTCCACCTGAAGGTGTAGCCCAGCATTCTAGGTAAGGATTGATCTAAAATTCATACGCTGACATAATATTTGCTGTGCTATTTTTCATCCCATTTAGTATACCTCCTACCATTGTTTGGCTTTTTTAAAAACCATTGCTACTAAACACAGTCAGTTGTCCACAATGATGCTTAAGTCTTTTTTTTTGAGTTATTACAATTAATTAGATTCCCTCCAAGACCTTTTCCCTGCAGCTTAACCAGAACACCTCATCCAGTTCTGGGAGAAAACTTCATCCAGTTTTCTGGGATCCAAAAACGTAATTCAAGTCCCCACATCACTTAGTCATGTATGCTATGCCCACAGTGGCCAGGCTAGACACAGGAATCAGAGTGATACCACAATTCCAAATCATGTCACACACTACATCATTTCTACTAACTTCCACATTTCTTGATCTGATAGGTTTGGCCATGGAACAGATGGACCAATCATTTAGAAGATCAATTAAGGACCAATTGCTTTATGTCTTTCACCTCATTTATCTTTCAAGCTTATCAGTTCAGAGTGTTCCCATTTATCTCAAATAGCTTGGTCTCCAGCACTCCGTCTGTCACACCCTTGTTTACATTTAACCTTGCACTCAAAATCAAGCTATGCCCAAGTTTACTATGCCCAGCAAGATCTATGCCTACATCCATCAATGCATATAAAAATTGAATTATTCCTTCCAATGTACATCATCCCACATTTGCCAACAATTCATCTTATCTGTCATTATATTACCCATTTTTACCCAGCTTTGTTAGGACCTTCTGGAGTTCATCAGTCTCTTCTCTGGTCCTGAATAACCTAAATAACTAACAGTGTCTAGGGATGTAAGCAACTAGTAAACTATCCGATAAGCAATAGCTTATTGCAGGGGTGGGCAATAATTTTTGATGAGGGGCCATTCCAAGAATTTGGAAAGTGGTTGAGGGCTGCACTCTTCCATTATATTAATGGAGGAGATGGGGGGTCTGGAATGGAGGTTGGGTGCACAAGGGAGCTTGGAGGAAGGGACTGGGGTGCAGGATGGAGACAGGAGTCTGGAAGGGAGTTGGGATGAAGCAGGCATTTGTGACCTAGGGCAGGGAACTGGAGTGCAGGGGTTTGGGATGTGACCTTATAGTAGGAGGAGATTGTGATCTCGGACAGGAGACTGGGGTGCCAGATCTGGGAGGGGGTATGGGTGTAAGAGGGGGACAGAGGATTTGGGTATGCTGAATGGGGGGGAGTGGGGGCAGAGAGTTGAGGCAGGAAAGGGCTGGGATGCCAGAAGCAGGTTGTGGCCAAGAGACTTACTTGTCAGTTGCCAAACTATCCTGTCTGCCTGCAGAAGTTAAAATGTTCCCAGCCAGCCTGCCTGCTTGCTGGGCCATGTGCTTGCTTCATGAATAACTGGGCCCAGGAAAGGGGGTATGATTTTACTCCAACAAGCAGCTCCCATTGGCCGGGTTCTGCCAGAAACTGGCCCATGGGAATGTGCTGGGGGCGGGAAAGTTCCTAAAACTACCCCACCCTCCAGTTTTAAAACAGAAACGGAGCCCTGCAGCCGCATTTCTGCATGGCGCATGGGGCTGTGGGGCAAGTGGGGGAGCCTGCCTGGGGCTTCCCGCTGCCTCCGTTTTGCCCAAGCCTGTCTTAGAAACTCAATCGATGCCAAATTGGGACAAGTCTCATCCTTACCTCCCCCCTGCCTCAATCACAAAGAGGCAGCGGGGGAGAGGAGAGGGTGCTGCGGTGAGCTGGCTAAAAAGCTGGTTTCCCCCAGCTCCAGATCTGTGGCTCTTGTACATTTCAAAGACTGAAATGCTGCATGGAGCCTGGGGTCAGCCCTGCAAGGGCTCTTGTACATTTCAAAGAGGATGCGCCCCGCACGGAGCCAGGGGTGAACAATACTCCCTGCTGGCCCCGGGCTCCATGCTGCGTTTCAATCTTTGAAATGCACAAGAGCTCCTGCTGGGGCTCTTGTATAATTCAAAGGCGAAATGCCGTACTTGTCCTTATCAACTAATCGAATAGTTGATGGAAATCCCATTGACTATTCGATGAGTTAATCAAAGTTTAACATCCCTAACTGTGTCATCTGCAAATTTTGCCACTTCATTGCTCTCCCCATTAAACACGTATGAACCTTTTAGCCACCCTATTGTTAACCTACCTTGTCCAGGCTGAGAATTCATCAGTTATTTCTACTCTTTGTTTTCTGCCTCTTAGACACTTTTCAATCCATACTAGTACTTAACTTCTCAACCCAGGACTACTGAGTTTCCCCTCTTGTGAAGGAATTTGTCAAAAGCTTTTTGAAAAAAATCAAAAATACATTATAGTTGTCCTTTATGCACTAATTTGCTAACATTCCCCCCAAATTCTAATTGATCAGAGAAACATCATTTCCCTTTTTGGAAGCTCTATTGATTTTTGGTTGACATGCCTTGATCATGCAGGTATTTTATCATTGTTTTTAATTTGAACCCATGTAAAAAATGTGCCACCATCCTGCCTTCAGAAAATCAAACCTGTCATAGATAACAGGACTGAGTTTTTCTAGTACCAAAATCAGAATATGCATGAGTAGGCACTTACTCCAATATGTAGGTGCAGCTCCACAATGGAGATGCAGCAGCTTTATGACCTTGAATCCTCATAACTTCATTCTAACCAAGTCTCTCCTAAATTTTCCCTTCTCTACTCTGTTTAGGCCAATATTGGCATTCATGCTTCCCCCCACTCCTGACTAAACTGCCAACAACTTTGTTGTTACCTATTGAGACTTCTGATCTCACAAATGTGGGCAGGTATCCTGACCTGATTGGCTCCTCCACACTAGGGTTACACTAAAGAAGACACCAACTTTTGGTCCCACTCAGAATCAAGATCTGAAGAGTTAAGGACAACCCCAGCTTCACCCGGCAGAGGGTTACAATGGACGATCACCAATAATTTGCAAAAATGTAGCTGACTGCCCCTGAATTCATCCTCAGTGGAAAGGGGCAGTTAGAGCAACCACAGATCTCTTCATGTAATGCTGCTGGTCTGTTTTGGCCAAACAGTTCATGGAGCACGTTTTGATAGGAAATTTCTTCAGTCCAAAAATTTAGACCATTTCTAATCACTGAAGCACTATAAGACCACACCGTCCTTTACTAGAAGGCTCTTTTACAGCACTCTGGCAATAAGGAGCCTTAAAATGTGTAGTCCTGGGGGAATTCACTAAGAACAAAGGGAACAATTTACTAGCAGGCAAGCTGAAACATTCTGTTCTGCTTGAGGGGACAGCCTGCCCCAAGCTTACCTTCCCGAAAACACCCCAATGCCCAGCCCCTTCACACTGCAATAACGAGCAAAAGGGACACATGCATGACTGCACAGCCCTCCCATCCAAGCAGTGATTTATGTCTCTACTGGCTGCTTCAGGCACCCAAACTGACCTGGCTGCACTGTCGAGGGGGGGAGCATGTGACCATTCTTGCCGCTTCCCTTTGCTTCCCCATCAGAAATCATTTTTCTGTAGTGAAGCAAAGAAATCTGTGAAGGGCCATGAATTCTGTGCACGCACACTGATGAAAAATTCTGCCAGGAGTACAAATTGTACCATTCATTGACTTGTGAAAAGGATA